GAAGAACAAGGACCCCCTGAATGAGACAGTGGTGGGGCTGTACCAGAAGTCTTCTGTCAAGCTGCTCAGCAACCTGTTCTCCAACTATGCCGGTGCAGATTCAGGTAAACCCACAACAGCCGTCTCACCCCATGTCCGGTGCAGACAAAGTAATAGTTTCTGAAGAAAAATGGCAGACTAAGCCCTGCCATCAGAAATTGTACACAGGGGAATTTAGCTTGAAAAAGTTTTAAAAGTTTCCTTAATAAAGACAACCTCAGGTGAGCCAATCTAAAGGGTACCAGTTCTGAAGTAATTTTCGGAATTCTGGATGTGGTAGGCCCCAACCTATATAAGATGGTTCACATCTGACCTGAGCATATTAAAATGCACAAAGACCTGAAGAAATCTAATAAAGGATATTAAATCAATTTAACTGTAGACAATTTCACACATATCATCAAACACTTACTGTGACCCCTAAAACGCATACCACTATCACTGTGTATGCCCTTTTTATTACTAAAAAAACTAAACTGCACCCGTGTGACAATGTGCCTACTAATCCTACACCAGTTATCTAGTCCACTAATTAATGTGCATTAATGCACCTATATAGTGCAAGTGATGAAAGGGTATTATTGACCTGCTTTGCGAAATTGAATAGGACGGTCTGTTTGAAATTGTGTTGAATCTTTAGGCAATCCTTTCACACTGATAAATATGTTTTACCACACATGAACCATGAACTGATCGAGGAATAATCTTACTCACTGAAACAGACACACCTGATATGTCAAAGATTTCAGGTCTATCTAGAGTCCCAGCCCTAATGCCAAAAGGGTATTATTATTTACCCAAGAGTAGGATATATTATAAGACACCAGAGGGCTAGAAATGATTAAAATGTTGGTTACATATATGAGAGGAAACTTTTCATTAGTTTGAAACTAAGAAACTAATAATTGTGATGAAAGTGATATTGGTGTAATATGAGTCTTTTATGCTTGGAATACATTTTTGTGTGTGTGTTGTGCCTCAGTCTTTTGGGACTTGAAAGATGACCTGAGAGCGCAGATGAACGCTGCTCACAGATGGAGTATGGAGTATGGAGTATGGAGTATGGAGAATGGAGAATGGAGAATGGAGAATGGAGAATGGAGAATGGAGAATGGAGAATGGAGAATGGAGAATAGAATGTTTTTTAAGGGAGGGGGCACAGAAACTGAGGGCAGCAACAGATATTCAAAAGGAGCAGTAAATCCTGTTTTTTAACTAAAGACTTTATTGCATGCTCAGTGTTCAAGGTGAAGGCGTTTCATGAGTGCCTGATGTTGGAAATCTAAACTGTGTTTTATTTCATGACCAACTCAAGAGAGCAAAGGAAAAGGAGGAGGAAAGAAGAAGGGTTCTTCCTTCCAGACTGTCTCTGCTCTGCACAGGGTGAGAGATTATGATTTCAAAAACTGGAGCCTACCATACAATAGTCTTGAAATATCACAGATATCTGTGGTGTAACTTGTGTGTTCTGTTTAGAATTATTTTATGTGGCTTTGATTTACAAAAGCACTTTACTATCCCCAGGAGAACCTTAACAAGCTGATGACAAACCTGAGGTCCACCCACCCTCACTTTGTGCGCTGTCTCATCCCCAATGAGACCAAGACTCCAGGAGCCATGGAGAATTCTCTGGTGATGCACCAGCTGCGCTGTAATGGTGTGCTGGAAGGCATCAGGATCTGCAGAAAGGGTTTCCCCAACAGGATCCTGTACGGGGACTTCAAACAGAGGTAGGAGTCACTCTATCCAGGACTAATATCTCCTAATATAGCCTTCGAATGCCTTCTAAAGATGTGTCTGCTGCCTTCACAGATACCGCATCCTGAACCCCTCTGCCATCCCTGAAGGCCAGTTCATAGACAGCAAGAAGGGAGCAGAGAAACTGCTGGGGTCCCTGGACATTGACCACCAGCAGTATAAGTTCGGACACACCAAGGTAAGAATCATTACACCAGGCAGAAAGACTAGGGATAAGTGTTATGATAACGACTCTCACTACTCACTCCTCATCACAATCTTTGATCTTTGGATTAAAGCTTTTTAGTTGTACTTGACAGTGAGATTGTAGATCCATGTACCAAAGGATGTGAGGGACGAAAATGACTGAAATTCTCAGCAGTTTTAAATCATAATTAAAAACGCCTATCTTTTCTGTTTCTCTTTTTATACTTTTTTATACAAATTCATAAAACTGCTGATTATTATTATTTCTTCTAAAGAAGTGATATTACCCCCCCTCACCTCCAAAACAGGTGTTCTTCAAGGCTGGTTTACTGGGTCAGCTGGAGGAGATGAGAGATGACCGCTTGTCTCTCATCATCACTGCTATCCAGGCCAGGTCCCGTGGTCTTCTCTCAAGAATTGAGTACCAGAAAATCGTAGAGCGCAGGTAGGATATCAATGTTTCATGAACACACTCTAAATTAGCCTTACAATTACATTTTATCCTTTTACCAATGTTGTATTTGTACCTTGCAGGGATTCCCTGCTCGTGATCCAGTGGAATGTACGAGCCTTCATGGGTGTGAAGAATTGGCCCTGGATGAAGCT